GTCTCATCTTAACTTACAACAAGATGCCTCCTGTGCACTGAAGGAATGTGTACACATATGTATAATGCTGTGTTTATTTGACTAACCTAGAGTTTATAGGAGATAAAGGTGGGGAGGTGGGCGCCGGAGTGTCTGCCTCATCTTCTTCATCCTCACCCCACTCTTCCTCCCTGAGAGGCGTGATGTTGTTACCCAACCACACTGAATGGATGGAGACCTGGAGAGTGACATGCCAAGTAAAAAAAACAAAACAAACATATTTGTTCATAATGTTAAAAAAAAAGAATAACTGTTGCCCTGCTGACAACATATACATTGTTCCTAAAAAGCTCCATTACAGTTTACTCTTTCCTATGTTTCCCACCTGCCCCAGTTTGTATTCCATGTTGCCCATCTCCCTCTCTGTGTTGATCTGAAGGAGCAGTTTCTCATGGCTGATCAGCTTGCTGCCCTATTATATACATATACACAAACCACCAACAACAATACGAGATGCTTGCTAAAGCAGCGTGCACAGTCATTCATAAGTTTGTCAGTTAGCCATTTACTAGGCTTAGAGACAGCTATGCATTCCTCTCCACTTTTAGCCTATAGATTATTAATACTTGATCAATTAGATCCCTCTACATTCTTGTTTTCTAACTGACTATCGCAAAGGCAAATCATTTGTATGTGGGGTATGGGGTCTGACTCTTTGAGGGGGACAGTACACATTACATAATGTTAGTAAGAAGAGGGTCAAGGATTAGTCCGGAGGGATTAAATAGGGGGAAAAAAGCTCACTGTGGCAAAGCATTTAAGTAGGAAACTTAAAGACCTGCAAGTTTATCTGTTTCTTTGAAAAGACCTGATGCAAAGTATTACATCAGAGTTAGCCAGCTAGCTTGATGCTATAGCAGGTTTGGAGTTGCTTGGGAATGCAGCAACACGAACACCAGTCCTAATTGTGCATACCAGTGATTAAGCCAGGATGCCAGCAACACATTTTTGATGACGTTAAAGTTAGCAGTCATGTTAAAGCCTTGCTTACCAGTATACATGCAGGTAAGCATGAGGCCCAGAGCAGCCATGGCTCTGTGTGGAGATGGCATGTTGACTGCTGTCATTTCTCCTATCTCCTGCCCCCAATGCAGGTAACACAACAACTGTGGATCAGAAGCTCACAAAAAGAAGCTAAACTCTAATTATTTGA